AAATCAGACAATTCAGGGAGGTCATTGGTCAGACAAGTTGCTGATTCAGGTGGTAAAGACAGTATAGATGGAGTATTTTCAGACAAATCGGGTAAGTGGCAGACAGAGATAAGGAGACAGATAAAGAGATAAGAGACAAGAAGAGGTAAGGGACAGGGATGGGAACATATAGTTTGGGAGAAGAGAAAATGAGGGGCAAGTGAAGAGATGCTAGTTAAGGGAGGTCAGAGGAGGCTCTCTGGGCTCTGGGGTTTTCTGCCTCCATTCCCCAAAGACGACCTGAGCTGATTATCAGCGTAAATGTTTTTGGCATTTTGACTCTTCCTCTCTGAACTGGAAAATAGTTTATATTTGCTTGAAAACCTCAAAATACATGCTTTCCCTCATGAAATCTGAAGGTTTTGTATGTGAAGATGAAGTCAAGGTGTTAGTTACATAGTTGATAGCGTGGAAGTGTCAGTGATAACCCTATACAGACTTTACAGCTGGAAATACATTTTTACCTTCTTTCATTTGACCTCTGAACAATCCTGGGTGCTAGAGGGAGGGTGGTATCATCTCCATCGACAGATGAGCTCCTTCTGTATGTGAGGCACTAAGTGCTAGACAATGTGGCCACATTCCCAAGCTCTTCTCCAATCCTAGCATGCTCTCCAGAAACCCTTTCCTTCCTTCCAGGCCTTAGAGACTCAGCCTGCTTTCCTTGCCCTAGAAGTTGGTCCTACCCTTGCCCACTCATCTGGTAGCACTGGCAACAGAGTAGGATGCAGGCTCTCAACTCTCCTCTCTCTTCTTGTACATGAAATAAGTACCTTTTGTTTTAGTATTTTGTAACTCTTCATTCCATAGAGCCAGATGAAGTATCAAAAATAACTAACACACAGCATATATAGGTTCCAGAAATGTCACTGTGTTTGTATAGCCTGTAGAAACGGGGTTGGAGCTGGCTTTCTCATAGCACTTTCTCCAAGTCCCTTTTCCCATGGAAGCTTCCCAGGTTCTTGTTACCATTACCAGAGCTTCATCCCACCTTCTGATAGCATTGGCCTCCTTGAGATTGGTTTTAGATATGCAAATGAAAGAAATGAGTCTAATCTACAGTATCTTGGGACATATTACTGACCTCATACTGCCTTCTGGGTGTATGGGAGCTGGTCCAGTAGGCTTACCTCAAAATAAACTGCAACCGAGTTTCCACAAAGATTCTTCCAAGGCTCAGTCTGCATGTCTTCCTCTCCTCTGTCATTATATTAACTTACATCTCATGATATGCAATAAGTAATTAAGACAGGAGAGTTAATATCCTACAAATGTGATCTCAACCCCTAAATTGGGAAGTTTTGTCCTTAAAGATTTTATCTTGTGCATGTCTTGTGACATACAGCACCTGACCATTATTACTTAGAGGGTCTCAGATGGATTTTTATGCTCTTAATGCTGGGCTGCAAGGATCTCACTGACAGCCATCTATGTATTCTCATGGGTAGATGAAATGAACACTAGAACTGCATTAAATATATATGTCAGATAGGGAAAAGGTGAGCGAATCCAGTGCAAAAGATGAGCCAGTCATATATTGCAAATGGAAATACACTAATGATTGGATATTCTTGTCCATAGATAAGGGGATATAGAATATTAGAAAGCTATGGTAGTGCATACCAGGACAACAGAGGGATGCCAGGAGATGCCAGCCTGGGCATGTTGGAGACAGCCATGGTTTCTAGCCTTGGTCCCTTGAGCTGGGCTCCATTCCTAGTTTACCCAATTTGTTTTGAGGATTCCTCCCACACCTTCCTTTCTTCAGTCTTTCTTATCTTGGAACTTAGACTGTAGAGCAATTCGAAGCTTTTTAATTGAAGACTATTGAACTACTTAGGAAAATATGAAAAGCAAACTTTAGGACAGATAAACGACAGGTATTTAACTCATCTGCTTTTCAAATTGAGAATTAAGAATAGAAAATACAAGCTTTACTAAAGTAGTAAAATAATAAAGGGAAGGGGTAGGGAGAGAAAAGAAAGATGATAAGGAAAAACAGGAGACGGAGAGAGAGAAGAAGGTTAAGGGAGAGAGAAAAGGAGAGCAGGTGAGGGGGGGAGAGAGAAAAGGAGAGCAGGTGAGGGAAGGATAAAGATATTGAAGAACAGAGACTGAGAGGGGTAGTGAAGGGGAGTAAGCCCAGAAAGGAGTAGAAGCAGAGGAGCCAAAATTAAGATTGTGGCTTTGGTACCAAAGATCTGGATTCTAAATCTACAAAAAAACTATGTCAAATATACTTAGTGATGAAATACTGAAAGAATTCTCTGAGATCAGGAATGAGACTATGATGGCTACTATTATTACTTCTATTTAACTGTGTACTGGAGGTTTTAGCTAGTGGAGTAAGGCAAGAAAAACAAATATAAAGTAAAAAAGAAGGAAAACTTAATGTATAGATGACATGATTTGCATGCACAGAAAATCCAAAAGAAAATCCCAAAGTGACTTTAGCAAGGTCCCCGGGTATAAGGTCAATATTCAGAAATCAATGGTATTCCTATATACAAGCACCAATAAAGAGAAATGGAAATTTACAAAGTTATTTATTTCATAATAGCATAAAAAAACTTAAGATGCCTTTCTGAGCCTCATTTTTCTAACATGTGAAATTAGGGATGCAGCAACAATAATAGTAGTAGAGCACCAACAATAGAAGCAGCTGGGTTTACTGAGTACCTACAGTATGCTGGACATTGTTCCAAATGTTTACATGGATTATTTCTTTTAACCTTTACAACAACCCTTTAATGGTTAGTGTGAGGATTAAATGAGGTAATATATGTAAAACACTTAGCAAATTGCCTTGCATACATAAATTCTCAATACATTTTAGCTATATAAAAATAATCGTTATTTTAGAGAGACTCATAGACTCAGTTGTTAGTAGAACTAAGCTGCTGTTCATTTGGGTTCAGATTTGTAGAATAAACAGTCATGTATTATGGTTGTTTTGAAATTTTAAATAGCTCATTAGTTCATTTATTCATCCAGGCACTGCTCTTGGGTCTAGGAATTCAGCGGGTAAGCAAAATAGATAAAATCCATGCCTTAATGGAGTTTACAGTTTGGTATGGGAAACACATTCATCAAATGATATCACAGATTGTGCTATGAGACTGAAAGTACAAGTACAAAGGCATTATAGGAACATAAATTGGGGGGAACCTGGTCTGGAGTAGAGAATGAAACAAGGCTTTGTTGCAAAACTGACTGTTGAGCTGTATTCTGAAGGATAAATGGAACAGGAGCAAGGAAAGGAGAATGTTCTACTCAGAGGAAGCAGTCTGTCTGAAGTGGGAGAGGGGTGTGGGTGGAGGGGGAGCTTGGCATGTATCAGGAACTGAAAAAATGTCTGAGTGACGAACTTAGAGAATGAGGGAGAGGGTTGCTGTATGAGCTATGGCTCCAAAGGAGGACAGGGAACAGGTCCTCAGGGCCTTGGGAGCCTTGTTAAACGTTTTTGCAGTTACTCTAATAAGAAAGGAGTACACTGAGGGGTTTTTATTTAAAGGAATGATATGATCAAATTTGTGTTTTGAAAATATTTCTGCACTAAGGCTATTATTGTTGTGTAGGCTAAGGCACCATCAGTAGCGAAAGGAATTAGTGGGTATATTTGAGGGATGTTTAAGGGGTGGAATTGATGGGGCTTGGTATTAGCTTGGGAGAGGGAGGAGGGATGCCCTACTGATGCCTCCTGCATAGGATCTGATTTGCAGAACTGGGTGACTAGTAGTGACATTCACTGAGATGAGGATAGTCTTTTTTTATGATGAAATAGCTTTACCAACTTTATATTGAAACTTGAGAATGTATTTGAAGCATTTATCTTCCTGTGGAAATTTGAATCTATCACACATGGGGAAAGGAATGACAGGTTTGGGACACTGATTTTGGAAGTATAGAGATACTTACTCCTTGTTTGCCCTTTGTCTTTCAAAAAATGTCACATTGTTATATATTTAGTCTTTCTTTAAAAAGGGCAGGGATATCAAACTTATAAATTCCTGAAGGTTACATTTAGAACCAGTCTCCTACTCTCTTCTCAAGTCTGTTTCTTCAGTCTGAAAAACTGAACAGATTCAGTGCAGAAATCTTGGTCTTCAGCTTCTTTTTTATCAACCTTTTAAGTCTCAGGTCACCAAGTAGTTAGATGTGAGAAAAGAATTTTTGAAGTTGGAACATGAGGGCCTTATCCAGTGATTATACAGACTGGGCCATATTAAGATTTAGCTACTCTGAAGTTCTCTGTCTCTGGTTTGGAATGTCTTTGGTGGGTATGCTAGGGCTTCAAATATTTCGTTAAAGCCTTCATCAAATGCTGGTGGTGCTTGGAGTTGATCTGGACAAGCCTTTAAGAATGCTCTGGAGTTGGCTCAGGTTCCCCAGGGCTGATTGGACTTTCTGAGCCTTGGCATTCTCTCAAAGAAGAAAGTCTGAGGCTAATAAGTTTCAGCCTTCTTATCCCCTTGCCACTTTTATGTAATAAAAACTGTCCTATAAGACCCCTTGAAGGGAAGAGAAGCCACTAATGGTATAGTCAGAGGGGACTGTGAAACTGGAGGGCAGTGTCACAAACCAATCCTTTGCTTAGGTATAGGACTGGGGATGGGGGATGTGGCTGATGGTGTGTGTGTGTGTGTGTGTGTATGCATGTACCTTAGGTCAGGTGATACGTTCTTTCTTTCACTCTTGCTCTCTGCCACACACACACACACACACACACACACACACACACACACACACACACACACCAGTGTCCTGAGCCTGTGTCCTTTTCTCTGTGTCACCTCCTTGGTGTAGGGAATGGGAACAGGACTTCATGTACTGCCTGAGTTCCCATCAACTACTAGACTCTGGGGCTGAATGGAATCTGAGTATGGGGGTTCTTGTCTCCCCTGTCTCTCCCACCATTCCCAGCTGACAGCCTGTCCCTACCCTTGTCTCTGTTTCCACAGCACTCCACCTCAGTGAGCATCATGGGTTTCTCTAACACTCTGGAGATGGAGTTGTCATCTACCAGGCTGGCAAGGACCCTAGAGCCACAGATCCAGAGTGTGAGCAGCCTGACAGCTGTCCCCGCTCAGGCAGCACCAAGCTCGATGAGTGGCCCCCCACAAACTGTGTCCAGCCTGACAAGTGTTCAAAACCAGGCCATGACCACCCTGACAACCAGGCACCTACAGACCATGCCCAGCCTTGTGCGTAGCACGTTCCAGTCTATGCCCAACCTGATGAGTGATTCTCCCCAGGCCATAGCAGGCCCAGTGAGCGATCGCTCTCAGGCCAGGCCCAGCCTAATGCCTGTTCATGCCCAGGCTGTGCCGAGTCTGGCAGCTTGTCCTCTGCAGAGCATGCCTCCAGTCTCTGATATGCAGCTGGAAACTCGTTCCAGCTCCAGTCCTCGCTCTGGCCAAAGTATAGGAAGCCTGTGCCCCAGGGATGGGGCTGACCCCTCCCTGGGGAATGCCCTATGTAAGGTAAGTCTTGGGGAAATGCCATTCAACTTCTTCTGCCCGTCACTGGGCAAAAGGTTGGCCACTGAAAGCCTTATCCTGGCCTTAGTTTAACAGCTCTGAGACCACTGATGGCAAAAATGTCTTATTTCTGTGATTTTTGTTGACATTTCACTTTTGAAAGATGGAAAGTGAGGATTCCACACGCTTCACTGACTCACTGGGACAAGGCTCCACAGCCCTTACCCTGGATGCTCCCAAGGACTTGGCTATCCCCTCAGAACTAGAGGAGCCAATTAACCTCTCTGTGAAAAAACCTCCACTGGTGCCAGTGGTCAGCACATCTACAACTCTTCAGAAGTACCACAGCCCAAAAGGTGAGACTCAAGGTAAGCAGCCTGCCTGCATTTTGGCCACAGACTTGAGTAAATGGACTCAGCACTTCCAGGTGAGATAGAGGTCCGCAGACAGGCTCTAAGCCTGGGAGAGCAGTGCTTCTCTCTGAAGCTGAATTCACTTCTCTCCTCCAAACTGACTCATTGACGCCTGTTCTGCTTCCCGCACTGTGGCCATGGCTGATCCAGGCATGGCTGGGACCTAGCCTCCTTGTAACATTCCCCATGCAAAACGTCCTGGGATGTCCGGATTATATTTATGGGAAACAGGGAGAACTCACCCCAGGAGGGCTAGTCTTCACAAAATATTATTGGGAAAAGAATGTGCCTGCTTTTGGAGTCAGATAGATGGAAGTTAGAAAACCAGCTCTGTCTCTTTATATTTGATCCTAGTTAAGAGACCTAACCCCCCTGAGCTGGATTTTTCTCTATAAATGGCTACTTCCTAGGCTATTGGAATAAATAAACTACAGTGAAATCATTTGATAACTTACTCCATAGTAGCAAGACTTTTCCTTGTACCTGTCAGTAATGTGAATTTGTGTTGTGCTTCATAGTAAAGGGGATTTGGACCATTGATGATTAATTCTGATTGTCTTCTCAGCTACCCATGCCCCTTCTCAGTCCCAGCTAGGCTAACATTTGTTCTTCTGTGGAAGGTGAAGGCTACTTGGGAAGTTAGGAAGCAGCTACCTACTGATCATCTGGGACTTTTTCAGTTCCAAGTATGATGCGCATTTAATTTGTAATGATCAGTCTATTTCCTATATATGTAATAAATGAAAACAAAAAAATATTTCTCCTTTTTTCTCATACTGACTGAAAAAAACAACTAAAAAATTATTGATTCTTGGCCGGGCGCTGTGGCTCACGCCTGTAATCCTAGCTCTTGGGAGGCCGAGGCGGGCGGATTGCTCAAGGTCAGGAGTTCAAAACCAGCCTGAGCAAGAGCGAGACCCCGTCTCTACTATAAACAGAAAGAAATTAATTGGCCAACTGATATATATATATAAAAAAAAATTAGCCGGGCATGGTGGCACATGCCTGTAGTCCCAGCTACTCGGGAGGCTGAGGCAGAAGGATTTCTTGAGCCCAGGAGTTTGAGGTTGCTGTGAGCTAGGCTGACGCCACGGCACTCACTCTAGCCTGGACAACAAAAGTGAGACTCTGTCTCAAAAAAAAAAAAAAAAAAAAAATTATTGATTCTTATTACATACAATAATGTAAGCCTGAATTTTACACAATTAAATTAAAATTTTTGGACCCTGCTTGCTCATTGTGAAGTACCTAGGACAGTACCTGGTGCTGAGTGGCTGCTCAGCAAATGCTAGTTCCTTCCTTTTGGCCCACCATGACCTCCTGTCCATCTATACAGACTGTACTACTCAGGGAAGAACTCCCTGGAACCTCTTGCCCATGAAGTGTAAGCTGGATTCTCAGGCAGTGCTAGAATCTTCGCACTTGGCTGAAAAGGCAGAGGCTGGATGGAATGACTCCCCAGTGTTCTGGGAAGAAGTGATTTCTGAGCTCATTTTGAAGATGAGAAGCTGGCCCCTCAGTGCCTGACCCAACACTCACCAGCAGGCAGCCTCTTAAGGTTATCTGTGTTTATCTTTTTAAAAGAAGGTGGCCTGCTTTCTCTCTGAGGAAGGAGATTCATGATAGGATTGTCACCACCAAGAGTGATTACAGCTTAGGTAACAATTACCTGACAGATATGTGGCCAAAGATAAGAATAGCAGGTATGAATGGAAGGAGCAGGTGACAGACAGAGTGTGTTGTCACAAATGTATGTCATAAGTATTTATTTGTCTTTTGCCTTAGAGTATGAGAATTTTGAACAAGGAGCCTTAGAGCTGAATACAAAAAAGAACCAGGGCATCAGGTAACAGACTTTTGGCCAACCTCCCCCTCCCACCCCTAACTTCATGTCCTGCAAGGGTTGGCACAGGAAGTAGCATTTTGAATGACTTAACTTGAAGCAGAAGTCTGTCTGTAACTGTCTTCTTCAACCCCAGACCCTCAAGTGGAGTCTGTGTGGCTGGGTCTCTGGGATGGTGGTGGGAGGATGTTCTGGCTCCTGTGCCGTGAGGCCTGCTCTGGGTGTGCAATCCTTGCTCTTCAAGGAGCCCCCTTCTTTGACCAGGGACTGTACAAAAGGGCTTCCTGGTGGCTGCCAGGGTCTGGTGAGGCAGAGCTGGGCAGGAGAGCAGAATGTAGAAGGTCATACTGAGAAGATCTTGAGTAGCAGTTCAGTTGGGGGAATCATAGATGAGCCTGGCTTAGAGGTTGGGGCCAGAGGAGGCTCCCACCAAGACTCAGGGGTGTCTCTCTTGCCACAGAGCCTTCAACAGTGAGTGCAAGATGCCCTACGTGCGACTGGAGAGGCTCAAGATTTGTGCTGCCTCCTCGGGAGAAATGCCTGTGTTCAAGTTGAAGCCACAGAAGAATGATCAGGATGGGAGCTTCCTGCTGATCATCCAGTGTGGCACTGAGTCCTCCAGCATGTCCATTAAGGTACCACTTTGCTCTGCCTTGGCCTTGAACCTTGGCCAGGCCTAGGAGCCTCTTCCTTCTCTCTAGTACTGCCAGAATTCTGGCTCTGGGGCCTTTCCTGAGTCTCTGAGTGGGGCTGTAGCTTGGCCAGATGTTGTCCCCTGCTGCAGGGGGCCTATGAGATGCACGTTAGATGTGAGCTGTCCCAGTATTCATGGAGCTTGGCTGGCAGGGGGTCCTGGGAAAATTAGTTATCACAGTAGGTGCTCAGAACCTGCCCGTTCCTTCCCACCCTTCCACAACAACTTGCCAGTGCTGCTCTGACTACTCAGACTTACTTCTTCCCCAAGGTCAGCCAGGGCAAACTGCCTAATGCCATCCAGGTCCCAGGTCTAGGGAGAAGAAAGGTCACTGTCACTTCTCTGGCTGGGCAGCGGCCACCAGAGGTGGAAGATACATTTCCTGAAGAACACAGACTCATGCCTCGAACTCCTGGAGCCAAGAAGGGTCCCCCGGCCCCAATAGAGAATGAGGACTTCTGTGCTGTGTGCCTCAATGGGGGAGAGTTGCTGTGCTGTGACCGCTGCCCCAAAGTGTACCACCTTTCCTGCCACGTGCCAGCCTTGCTCAGCTTCCCAGGGTGAGTCATGCCAGTCCAGGGCCATCACCTGGCTAGCAGGATTATCTTCCAGGGATTATTATTCCAGGCCAGGCCTACAGAGCTCCCCAGGATGGGTTTACCCCTCTCTTCTGGACCTGCATGAATCGTGTATCTGTGAGTTAGTAGTCCTTACAGCTATGTGCCTTCTGTACATGGACAGGCGAATGTTTGAAATTTGATTGGCTTCCCTTCCTCCTCTGTTCTCAGCATCTTTCTACACACAGATTTATGCCTGTATTCCTTTCTCAGACTCCCCTAACTCCTATCTTTCTGGATTCACCAAATCCTGAGTTCCTAAACTTCTTTTAAGCCTGAGGATAGGAAGCCATTCCTTATAGGGCAGGGCCAGGGACTCAGTTTCCCAAGCCATCACTCCTACACCTGTCTTGGGCAGAGGGACAGGGAAGGGTGTTCTGGGCAATGTGTGTCTAACATGGCCCCACTTGCCTGTGCAGGGGAGAGTGGGTGTGTACCTTGTGCCGCAGCCTGACCCACACCGAGATGGAGTACGACTGTGAGAATGCCCGCTATAGCCAGCCTGGAATGCGGGCGCCTCCTGGCCTGAGCACATATGACCAGAAGGTAGGGAGGGGTCTCTGGGAACAAGGCTCCCTGCCTGGGGCAGCCCCCCGCCCCCCATGCCCACAGAGTCTGAGGCCTTTCAGAGGGGTTGTGAGGACTTTGTGGGTACCTTTCTTTTGGGCTGTGCCTGACAGTTGGGCCTTTGGGGGTTTGGATGATTTTCCTTCTTCCAGTAGTTTTTCTCTGGCTTGGGGGCCTGAACTGTGCTTTAGTATGATGGCTGGCACCCTATGGGACAGAGCCAGAGAGTTATCAGGGTAACTCTTTAGTTATCGTCTTTAGTTCTTATTGAGGTGGGGCCAGAACAAAGTAACACTGTGCTAATTCTGATTTTGCAGAAGTGTGAGAAGCTGGTATTGTCCTTGTGCTGCAATAGCCTCAGCCTGCCTTTCCATGAACCTGTCAGCCCCCTGGTAAGGAAGGCCTCCCTGTTTCTGCCTGCTATTGTCATGTCTGCTCAGAGGGCCTAGGCCATGAAGCAGGAACACTGTGATCCCCATGGTGGGCCCTGAGCATGGCCATTGGAAGTAGTGACAATATTAATTTGTGGATGGTCCAGGGAACCCTGGGAGCCATGGGCACTCCACAGCTGCTACTGTGACTTGACAAGTGACACATTCCTCCTTTTCCCTTTTTTGTTTGTCTTCTTTCACCATACTTTTCTTCTTGTTGCTCCTCTTCTTTCTCTTTCTTCTGTTCTTTCACTTATATTCCAACTTGTTCTCCATCTCTTTCTCCTTTTACCTATACCTCCACTTCCTCTCTCTTCCTTCTTTGTCTCCTTCTCGCTATCTCTCCTCCCCCGAGGCACGGCATTATTACCAGATTATCAAGAGGCCCATGGATCTGTCCATCATCCGGAGGAAGCTGCAAAAGAAGGATCCAGCTCACTATACCACCCCAGAGGAGGTGGTGTCAGATGTGCGCCTTATGTTCTGGAACTGTGCAAAGTTCAATTACGTATGTCTTGCCTGTTTTCCCTCTCTCCTGTTTCCCAGTAACCCCAACACTGTCAAGGCTGGGTGGGGGCAGGGGGCAGGTTTGGTCCTGGGCTGCCATGAAAACCTAGGAGCAGACTCCTGGGGTCTGCTGTGGTGAGTGTTTGAGAGCTCTGTCCCACACTCGGGCCTCAGCATGGACTCTGGGGAATGATGGGGAGGTACTAGTGACTAGCCATCTGTGGCTGGACGCCTGTCAGGGGCACTTCTGCTTTAAGAGCTGTTACCAAACTGGTTATCCTAAGTCCTAGAAGAAAATGTCAAGTCCAGACATCCCAGGAGACCCAGCCAAGCTTTGTGCTCTGTATAGCTTTTGAGGGACTGGGACAGATGGGCTGGTAGAAACCGACTAGACTATCACTTCTCTCCTCCCTCATCAGCCTGACTCGGAGGTCGCAGAGGCTGGCCGCTGCCTGGAAGTGTTCTTTGAGGGCTGGTTGAAGGATATCTACCCGGAGAAATGGTTTGCCCAGCCCAGGCAGGAGGACTCAGACTCTGAGGAGGCATCCAGCGAGAGTGGATGTTCCACTCCCCAGGGCTTCCTGTGGCCCCCCTACGTGCAGGAGGGCATCCAACCCAAGAGGCGGCGACGACATGTGGTAAAGAGTTGCTGCCAGCTGGCAGCAGGGGGGTGGGTGACCAGGCAAGCAGGGGGGCGCCCAAGCAGCATGCATAAGAGTACCTACAGTGCACCTGCTCACGTGGCACAAGAGACAGTGGTGAAGGTGAACCCTCACTTGCAAGCCCTTGGCCTATAAGGAAGGCAGGGCAGTATAAGGCTTATCAACTCCAGTTACCCATGAGGTTTGAAATTCAGAGAGGTGTATGTATCTGCCCAGGGTCACCTAGCAAATTAGCAGTGCTGGTTATGCTACATTGTGATTGGATACACATAAGAAGAGCAGTACCTGTATCAGTGCTGGTCTTTACTGGGGTTTGAGGGAGAAAGGAAGGAATCTTTTTCAGCTCCTTTGTGTAGGGCAGGGGTCCTCAAACTGCAGCCCATGGGCCACATGCGGCCCGTCGAGGACGTTTATCTGGCCTGCCGGGTGTGTTTGCTGCCGCTGCCTGTCCTTCTTAGCGGCCGACTAGTCCCTGGGCCCACAGTGCGCATGTGTGGAATGTGTGCTGCACTCTCCAACAGCCCTCCAACGGTCTGAGGGACAGTGAACTGGCCCCCTGTTTAAAAAGTTTGAGGACTCCTGGTGTAGGGTGTTGCTTGCAGCAGAGAGAGCTCCTTTGACCTTTGGCTGGACTAACCTGTGTAAACCTGAAACATCAATTTGATGCTATTTAATTCCACTGAAATATATCACCTGCCTACTGTGTGCCAGGGTCTGACCAGCCACCCTCAGTTCTTTAGAATTCTTAGCACACCATGTGTATTGGCTTCAGTAAGTTTTGCTGTTGCATTCCTGCATTACTTCTGGCTCTGTAGAATCCTAGTCTTGACACTTAGCCTTTTCATGTTAATAAATCCTACATTTGGCTATTTTAATTCCAAATATGTATATTTTTTCTTTCAGGAGAATGAAAGAGCAAAGAGAATGTCTTTCCGTCTGGCCAACAGTGTTTCCCAGGTGTGAGAGCTGGGAGGAGACTGAGTGTTCTGGCAGCTGGTGTCCCATCCTGTTGACCATTCCTCCCCATCTTTCAGCTTTTGCTCTTCAGAATGTGGATGTGAGATGAGTCTTGTTGAGCTGTGTAGTGCTCTTCTTTGCCATTTGCATCTACAGCATTTATTTGGGAGCCATAGTGCATCCACTACAGAGATTTCAGTAATAAACAGGAAAGAGGGAGGTGTTCCTTATTTCCGGAGTAATCCCATGTATAGGGTCCACTTGACAAAACTACAGCTTGGAAGGCCCTAACTTCCTTGGTGAACTCTTTCTGCTGAGGAGGACAAACCTTTCTCACTTTTCCATGTCCAGACTCAGGAGCAGTGTCTACATCTGAATTCCTCCTGGGCTCAGAAGTGGGTAAAAGGCGGGAGAGAGGTTTGGACATGTGGCAGGCTTGTGATCGCTGGCCCAGCACATCCAAAGACTGTCACTGTTTGCCTTTGCTTGTCCTGTCTGGACAGAGGCACCTGCCGTGGGCAGAATAATGGAGGCTTATAGAGGCCGTAGATCTCAATTGGTGCCTATTTGGCTTCTAACGGTTTTCAGGGTATTTGTTTTACATTCCCCCTGTCCTTATATTGACTTAGGTGGCTGCTGTGAAGGTGCTCTGGATGGTATGGAATTCTTGACTGAGCTAGGGGGGTAGGTAGAGACCATTTACATTTTCCAGCTTATATTTCATTTGGAGGCTTAAAAAGATGTCAACTTCAGAGTCTGCCCTTTGTGCCACTTACTTTGGGCTAATAGCACTTCTTTAGTGTCAGACTCTGCCTTCCTAGAAGTGATTATTGGTGCTTGTCAGTGGCCACTCCTTCATCATCCCTATTCAGAGGTCTGGATCCTGAGTTCTGCTTGGAAAAACTGTGAGGCAGCTGCTGTCTGCTTCAGGTACAGAGTTTCTAGGCAAGGAAAGTAACCCACAACCAGCTGGGCCTCTTCTTCTGCTTAGAGATTCTAGTTCTCAACATCTCCAAGTTGGCAGAACCAAAGATGAGAAGTGAGTCCTCTGGCTAGCCTTCCTCCAGGCTGTCTGCAGCCCCGAAAAAAACAATGCTCTTTGGGCAGCCCTTTTTTGTTGGAGGTTGGAGAAGGCCTCAGGGATGGGCAGGAGCCAGACCTGAGCATTCCTGGGGGAAGTTCTGTCTAGGGCGGAGAAGGGGAAAGTCATGAGGTGAGACACCACTGTTCTTTGGTGACCCCAAAGCAACATCAGGACTATAGTTCTCCTAGAATGCAGAGAGAAGCATTCTGGAAGCCATAGGAACAGGAACTCCAGGATGTATCTCAAGTGGATCTTCATGGTTCATCAGGGTTTTTTTATGGAAGTGGCATAGAAAGGTACTGGGGTCAGGCTACCTCCCAAGCAAGGGCTTGGTTAAGAAGGAACCTGTTGCTGATATTGTTGGGGGAGCTCTGGACTTGACATTTTGGTGGCCTGGCCCTGAGACAGCTCTCCCTGGAGGTCCTGTCATGGCATGGCTAAGTTCAGGGAAGTCTCAGGTCATGGCTTTGTTTTTGCTAAGAGATGCAGTTTAAGGAAGTTCTTATTTGTAGGGCCTTTGCTAACGAACTTTTTTTTTTTTTATCAGAAAATATTTCTCCTCTCCTTGTGAGTTGATGGTATTGCTCATTTTCTTTCTACCCAAGCTGAGAGATCATCTTTACTTGAAAGCAAACTGTGTATTGACTTGCCATTCTTTCCATAGCACATGCCAAGTTTTGCTAAGCAGATGAGCTTTCATAATCCTGTTTTCTAGTTTGGGGTAACTGAGTCTTTAATGCTTCACTGGTCAGGCAATCTTTGGACTTAGCCCTCTGCTCCTTGGGGCTCACATAATTTTCTGGCTTGGGCTCTGGCCATTTATTTTTCAATTTTTGGATATTTTTCTCTGTTTAGTTGGCTTGGCAGGGTTCACTCTGTACTTGCCTCATTAATTCCTGTACTTGGTCATTTTTCTTTTTTGTGGTTCACATTCCTACCACCCCATTGTATTTGGTGTTGGGCAGTCAGTGAGGCTTGTGACAAACCTGATTGAGATCCTTCTTCAGGACCAATTGGAGACAAACATGAAGGAAAAATATGAAGGACAAATATGAAGCAGAAATGCCCACTAAAAGCCTGGCTTCCCTTATATCAGTGAAGCTCCCTGCTTGGGTGTGGCTTGCTAGGCCCAAGGGTTCGCTTGCTGGGCCAGGGGATCTTAGTAATGTGGTAGAGAGTCACATATTCCCTTTCCATCATAGAGACCTGCATGCTGAGAAGCTCCCTTTAGGTAGGGATAGGTGGGAGGTAGGGTGTCTTTTCCTCTGACAGTGTGAGATCCTAGCCTACGACACCATCCCTACTCTGGTAGTCCCATGTCACTACCCTCTCCCTGGCTTTCCCTGCGTACCTAGCTGCCAACATTTTGAGTCATGGTTTTGTTTAGTTTTATTTTTACATGGAGAAAGTAGAACAAGACTCTTTAGAAATACAAAATCTTGCTAGCCAAGTCACTGCCTTCAAAGGCTATTTCCTAACATTTGGGCCAATCCTCCATTTGACTTGTTCTCATAGTGGCCCCATTTTGGAGTCAGTCAAGTCCTTTGGCCCTTGACAAAGTCATGCAATGGAAATACAGTGAGTTCTGGATTGTTAGGGTACAGCATACGATCCTGTAGCATGCAGAGGAGAAATTGGCTTCTTGGGTGTGCTGAGAAACAGGATAGTAGAGTGGCTTCAGTTGATGTAAGGGGATTTTAGGGCAAAAATTGATACAGGGTGAATTTGCAGAGCACTCTTCCACAGACCATAGGTAGGTTGGCCCTGCCTAACTCCTAGCAATTGCTAATAACTACACACCCTGCCTGCCTCCCTGAGTGGCAGCCACCACACCCTCCATAGGCTGTGCTCCATGGCAGGCCCTGCCTTCACCCCTGGAGGACTCTGGCACCCTATATCCATTTCTAGCGATAGGTCTTTGCTTGACTCCTAAGACCTAGGCCTCTCCCTGTTTGTTCCTGGGCTCTGCTCCCTCTCTCACTCCACGGGGCACCTGTTGTCTTCTCTTCTGAACTCCTGAACTGAGCCTTTGCTCTTTCTGGATTGCCACCTCCTCTGCCTCCTCTTCTTCTCCCTCCCTCACTGCTGCCAAAATTACCCTGCGCCTTTAATCCATTTCCATGACTTTAGCCCCTGTCTTCCTTTCCTAGTCTTTCATCCTTCTCCTGGACTTCTTACCCTCCCCAGCCTGAACCCACAGCCCATCACACGCTGACATTTTTATCAGCATCCTAAACTTTCTCATCCCCTCCAGCTTTTGCTGAAACTATCAACCATTCTCTATTTTCTACATCATCCTATTTTCTGCTCCCTCTTCCTGGGCTGCCGAGCATGACAGATTCATAGTTGACAGCGTCAGATGGGCTTTCAGTATTGATTGTAGATTCTTTAACTTGTTGTTACTCTTCTTTCCCATCCATGCCCTTTGTCTCTGCTCTCAGCAAATGACTGACCTCATTGTCTGCTGCACAGTAGAGAGCCCCTAACTTGAGAACTTCCCTGCTGGCTGCTCCTCCCCCTGCCATTTGTCCCTGTCTGAATCCCTCCTTATCTCCTTCCCTCCTGCTCCCATTCAGTTCTCTGTTTCTGGATCCTGTTTTATGTCCTCCAAAACTTTGCTCCCTCATTTATCCCATTGCTCCCACTTCCCGGGGCTTTCAGCCTCCCTCTCTGTTGGTTACCTCCACATAGTCTGCAAACAAGCGGAATTCTCCCCAAGATTAAAACGAAATATCTTAGAGTCTGCTGCCCCTTACTCTTTTCCCTTGTCAGCCAGGTTTCTTTTAAAAAGAAACTTTTTTATTGATTCTTCTCAGTTACACTTCAGCTCTCTATAGTTTTCATAAAAGCCATCAGTGACTACACAGTTGCCAAATCAAATTAATATCTTTCAGTCCTCAACTGTCTTGAATTCTCCACAGCTTTTCACCACAGCATCCACCACCCCCTGCACGAAACACCCTGTTCACTTGGTTTTTATGACACCACAAGTCTCTGGATTCTCATCTTTCAGCCACACAGGCTGAGCCTTTCCTGAAACCTGGACAGGGGGACATGTCTGTGGCTGTCTGCGGTCACTCCTCTCCAGGATTTGGATAGGCAGGAAGATTCACAGCTGCTCCTCTTCCAGCTTCTCCGTGTCTGTTTTCTTGTGAGTTCATTCCTTCTCCTGGACTCAGTTCTCCTCATGCCAAGCATGTTTATGAGCTCCTGCTGGGAGGACAGCATCTGCATGTCCTTCCCTCTGTCTCTCCCAGTATAGCACAGAGACAGATTTTAGCTACATTTGCTAAGAGGCCCCTTCTAAATCAGCCCAAGAGTGTGGATTAGGTTTTATAGCATCTAGGTAGCAGTTTGGCTAAACTGGATTACTGGATCATCAGTATGATCCCATACCAGTTAGAGACTGCCAGTCGGTAAGGAGGTAAGACATGTTTCCATACATGGTTCAGTGCTGCTAACCAGGAGGAGAATCCTAGCAGGGATGGGCGTCTGCCACTGACAATATTCTGATGCAGGGGAGACTGGATAGTGGGAAGTGCTGTGCTTCCTCACTTGGTTGGGCTCAGCTGGAGTCAGCAGGACTCCCTGTAGCAGGGTCTTTCTCTCACCTGTGCTGATCGTCACCACCTGCTTGCTCCAGTTGTTCCTGGAGCTGGGGGTAGATGCTGGTTGGAGGTAAGGAGGTGTAGTAGAAAGACATGATTTGAGAGTTGGAACACCTAAATTTTGGTGCTGCCAATTATGAGCTTTGTGATCTTGGGTATAGTTTCCTCTTCTGTAAAGCTGGGCTATGGGAATGGCTGAGAACAGTGATCTCTCAGAAGCTCTCCAGCTCTAAAGATAATATGTGTGATTCTAACTCTAAAGCTCAAGCCACATAAGGAATAAGGGAACTCTGGGGGTGGAACACAGCTGGGGGAGTCCTGGCGAGGGCAGGGAAAGGGACTCACAGGCCAAATTGAGCTGCTTTGAGGAAGGTTCTTACCCGCTGGTGCTGCTTCTCAAGCCATATGCCCATTCCTCAAGCTGTACCCCATTCTTGGATATCTAGTATGAGTTCCTCCTAGGCCTTTTCTAGAAGTGGTAATTGGATCCAGAATGGTTAAGGGCATGAGGGAGGAATATTGTAAGGGGAAGTGTCACTGATTTTAAAAGGACCTACACATTCATGAACAAATAAAAACTAGCACTTTTCCTTAACAACAGTTGTGTTCTGGAGTGTTTTTCAGTGAAGATGGTTGAACCTTCTTGCCCCTAGACTCCAACATCATTAAGAACCCAAAGTGAGGAAGAACAGACTGGGAAGCCTTTCTCTCTGGGAAAAGAACTCCGCTCTTTACTTCTTATAGCGTACACATGGGCTGTTCTTCAGCATGCCGGTAGCAAGTCTGAGGTGAAATTAGGCAAAAGGGATCTTATGAATGCCTACACTTCCAGAATATGCTTTATATCATTATGTTCCCCAATTACTTATCATTAGCTGTCCTCTCTGCTCACTCTACACCAGGAAGGTTTCTAGTCATTTTAGGGGGTCAAGGACATTGTAATGAATATTGTCATTCACTTAGGCTGCATAAAGTCTGAACCCCTTCCCTGTTTTTGGTGAATTCCTCACCTCAGGAAGCTTGGGAGGCACAGCTTACTCCTCACTACAGAAACCAAATATACTTCAATTTTGATTTTCCAGCATCCTTTAAAGCCAGGGAACAGGACTAGTGGTAGTGATTAAAAAAAAAAAAAAATAAGAAAGAAAAGAAAAAAACAGACTTCTCTGTGGCGGCAGTGTTGGTTGTAGTGCGGTGGGGTTTCCATGGCAGCAGGAGCAGCAGTACAAGTTGGAGCACCTGGTGCCTGATGGCAGTGATAGTTTCTTCAGCAGACCAATTCTACACATGATTTCAGGAATTGTTTCTGGCTGCACAGTGCTGAGCTTAATTCTCCAGCCTTCCTGACAATTCTGTCAACAACCTTAAAAACCTTTCAATAGGCTGGGAGCAGTGGTTCACACCTGTAATCCCAGTACTTTGGGAGGCTAAGGTGGGAGGATCCCATGAGCCCAGGAGTTTGAGGCTATAGTGAGCAATGATTATACCACTGCACTTTATTCCAGGTGACAGAACAAGACCCTGTCTCTAAAAATAAATTTAAACCTTTTAATACATTAATTTTCTGCTTCAATTAGTCAGAATTAGTTTCTAGTACTTGAAACTAAACATGCTGATGTTCAAAGAATCTGGTAATGTCCTGGACCCACTCTTCTGAGCTCCAGACCCACATATCCTATGGTCTATTGGACACCTCCCACTTGGATGTCTCAATGTCACCCAACACTCCCAGGCCCCTTTAACATATTCTTCCTCTGATACTCCCCATTTCAACAGCCAGGGACTCGGGAAGAAAACTAGGTGAATGTGGTATCAGAGAAACCAAGGAAGGATATTTGTCAATGTTAATGTTTACAATGAGACCTGGAAATCTTCTCTGACCTCCCACCCCTTCCCAGACTGGCCCAAGAAACTGAGCCTTTTCCCTGCTTGCTCTGACTTTTGGCTGTGTTTTGTCCTTATTAATTTTATTAGTACTGATCCTTCTGCAGGTCCCAAGGACACAGAGCCTCTCTCCTCCCACTCCTCAGGTTCCATGGCAAGCTGCTAGCTGGGCCCATTCCCCAGAGCAAGTCCTGCCCTCATAGGTAGGTCTGCATCCAGATCTCTTCTTGCTCCACACCTGGTCTATGGATTATTTTATCCACTAGGCAGTATAGGCATAGTATAATGATATCTAGGGTCTGAGAGCTTTTCAAGGGCCTATAAAAATAAGTCCTGAAAAAATTTAAAATTAAAAGTGACAAAACATACATTAAAAATGTCTAATTAAATGTCTATAAACTGTACCATTATGTTAAACCCATTAATTGTTAATTTTATAATAATTTCATAAAGTTTCATAAAAATTTTGTTACACTTGAGAATAATTTGTAGGTTAGAGTTTCTTACTTCACAAGTAATTCTGTATATATGAAATGATTGTCAAGAAACCTGAGCTCATTGTAAATTAAATGAATTATTACTAGCCAAATAATTTAAAAAGCAAAATTAAAAAAAACAATTTCAAAAATTTATAGTGAAAACTATATTTACTGCAGGCTGTAGGTGCATTTTTATGTTTGATGTAGAGCCATGCCTGGTCTCTGGGGAGAACCCTCGTTCATGGGCCCTGGAGCTCTGCGAGGGTGGTGGGAGAGAATCTTGTCCTACAGACATCACTCCTACAGGCCTTTCACAGGCTATGGTTTGGGAACGAGAGGGTGTAACCAGTCCCTAGGGCCAGCTTTCCAATTGTAGCACAGATTGCAAGTTGTTGCCAGTATCTATTTTTACAATAATTTTAGTAATAACCTCCTTTTCCCACTTTTCCTAGCTTCCTGTACACCTGGATGTTGTCTTTTGAATAAGTTCTAGCCAATCAATTATGAGAAGTGGTCACATATACAACTTCCTGGACACATTTTATATGAAAATGCCTGTCCTCCAGGTCCTCCCTCTTTAGCCTTTTCTCCAGATAGGAACACAGTTATGCCACTGGTCATCAAGCTTCAATCATGCAGATAAGGGCAAGATCCCAGAGAATGGTGAAACAAGAAGTTAGAAAGAACCTAAGTTCATTGACAATCTCATGGAGCAGAGTCATCTACCTGCCTTGAACTGCCTGCTTGCTTCTTTGGACTATTACCTGAGAAAGAAATACATTTCTATTTTTTAAAGCCACTTAATATGGGGTTTTTTTTTTTTTGGTTACACTCTAACCAATATTCCAAAAGCAGTGCTTTATTTGCCCACAGGGTTGAGAGGATGTTCCTAAGATTTTTTTGGAAATTGCAGTGACCCTGGCCTCCAGCTCCATCAGAGGTGTAAGATCTGCTGAGGCCAAGCTTACTTATTCATGGAGAAATAAGGATCTGCTCCATGCTGGTGAACACGAACACCACAGCCTCAGTCTTGCCCAGCCTAAGGGCTAAGGCCTGATGCAGATGGAAGCAGTTGTCCTCATCTAGGGCTCCCCATTTGTTCCAATTGCAATTCCCAGGTGTGGTGTGGTCCACTGACAGTGTCACTTCATGGCAAAGGTTCTGCCAGGGCAGTGCTTCTGTGACTTTTAAAATTTATTAATTAGATTAATGGAGCATTCATCCTTTCTTTTCTATATGAACTGAATTTCTCAGTAACTAACTGATGAGGGGAAGTTTTTCTTTTAGAAGTATTCCACAATAATTGATGAAAGACGGATAAATTTGGAATATCACCATTTTTCAACCCCTAATGAGTTAGTGAATCTAGGAAATGACCATCTATGGCTGCTCACATCACCAAAATAGAGACAACCAGACATTATGTGGCTCCTGATTGAAGAACACAACGTCACCTATGAATTGTTTACAAACAAATAGGATCTGAATCTAATCAAGTCACTACACCTACCAATTTACAGATTAAATCCTAATTGACAGAAAATGCAGAGAATAGAGGAACACCTTAAATGACATCGCAAGGATCCAATCAGCAAAATCCAGTCTATGAAAAATGATAGGACAAATGACATGGTTTACATTGCAAGGGGTAAAAAAGTGAAATGGAGGGAAACCTATATATTAAAGAGACTTGAAAAGCACATAAACCAATTGCAATGTATAAAACTTATTTGCATCCCAGTTTAAACAAAGTAAAAATATCATGAGACAATTGAGAATATTTGAAGAGATAATAGCTGAGAACTATCCAGAAGTGATGAATGATATGAACTCATAGATACAAGATGAAGAACAAAATATACTTAAGAAAAATAAAAGGAAACTGAAATATATTATAGTAAAACTGCAGAACACCAAAGACAAAGAGAAGATCCTACAAACAGCAGAGGGGCATATGTTAACGTGAATGCTTTCCAATGTTTCTAGTGCTTTTCCCCTTCTAAGTGCATGGATGGATTGCACTACCTGACACTCTTTATTTTAGGTATCTTTATAAGACTTGATTTGGTCAATGAAATGTGAGTGGGAGTGATGTTGGTCATTTCTAGGTTGAAAATGTTAACAGCCAGTGCTTGATTTCCTGATTCTTTATTTCCTCTCTTCCCTTGTTGAGGTCATTCTGAGAGTACACATTGACACAAAGGCGGTTGAGATTTAAGCAGTCTGGTATGCTATGCGTTTGCATGTAGAATATATGCTTTGGCATATTACCCATATCTGCAGCAGATTTTGCATTAATGAGAACTTTTGTTGTGTTTAGCCAGTGAGAATTGTGGATTGTTCATTATTGCAGCATAAGCTAGCCTATAGTACAAAGTACCTCGGTTTTCTTTGGGGAAAAAAAAATCAAACAATAACAAAACACTAAGATCCAAGGCTTTGGCTTAGCATATGGATAGTAAGGGAACAGATACTGGTGACTAGAAAGATGGCAGTTCATGTTGTGTAGTGGAAAAACATTTGGTAAAACTATAGTGTGTGATAACTTGAAAGACAGATCAAATACTTAATGAATTTCAGTACTGGGGAAGAGGTCAGAAAATAGAACAATAGTAGCATATGTTGGTTGATATTCTGTTTATCAAGATATTTCAAGAAAAACATGAATTCAGAGAAGAATTGCTCTGCTTTAAGCAGGCGTAATGGAAAATGGAGAATATCCAAAAATTCAAGGATTTAAGGGTTTTGAAGAGGTAACTGCTTCTTGATCCTGAAGACTAAAATATAAAATAATGAGAATTTGAATACGGAAGGTCCATTAAAATTCGGCCTTGAGGCAAGGATCAAATTAAAATTATGGCCATAGTATTCATTGTTAAAACCTTTGAATGGATTAAAGTACTTTAGGAAAAATATCAAATTAAGAGTATAATACCCAGTAAAATATTTCAGCTGGATGAGATTCAGGGAAAAAATTCTAAGGATGTGACTTTTCCACCAAAACCTGTGGAGAGAGAGAAAGAGAAGAGAGGGAGGCATGGGCATGCCTACGGTAGTCTCCCTTTACCAGGAGTTTTGTTTTCTGCAGTCCAAAAATATTATTTTAAGTGGAAAATTCCAGAAATAAACAATTCACAAGTTTTAAATTGCACACCATTCTGAATAGCATGATGAAATCTCATGCTGTCTTGCTCCATCCCAATAGGGATGTGAATAATTTCTTTGTCCAGTG